CGTCGCGTGTGAGAAGATGTACTTCACCGACGATCCCTTCTTTTGGAGCCTGGAAGAGGTCCATGCCTTCCTGATGTCCGATGACACCTTCGCTGCATCGACTACGGAACAAATGGCGTGCGTGGACGATGCTCGCTCGACAACCCCGAAAGCGTTGCAAGCCTCGTTGATTTCTGATGGCACCGGCACTGATTCGACCACGGCCGAAGCGGTTTCGTCGTCATCGTCGAACGACTTTGTTGGGTGTGAGCAGACGGAGAACGTAGATGATGTCGACGACTTCATGCGAGAGATCGATGCCCTCATGAAGTCCGATGACACACCTGTGGATTCGGCAATGATCTCGTGGCTGGAGCAGTAGTCGATGCAGCTCGTATGGAAAATGTTGTTTGTTCATGTATATCATAATACTGGAAGGAAAAGAAAATTCATGTTCATGCAAATATTGGCGACAATAAAGTTCATTTTTCATCCCATGTATTGTTGTTTCCTTCATACGTTGCTGTTTATATGAAATGGTGTTGCTAATGAACTCATAATTTGAGATATCACTGTCTCGTCCTCATGCATCAACATATCATAGTTGGTCACCGTCCTCAGGGAGAAACAGTCATGGGTGGGTTGACCATATATCAAAGTCAGACATTTGGATGATTGCTGTCACCAAATATTGACTTCTTCTAACCATCATCCAGTAAATCATTTTTATGTGATACATGATGTTGTTATTGTGGAGATTTAAAGGATACTGATGGATGAATCCCTGTAGTTGAACAGTGTATTTGATTGTTCATTGACATCACTTTAAAACTTGAATGATCAAGAAAAAGAGAACAACAGAGCTGGCAACTGTATTGAAATAGATTTTGTGCACACCATTTCCTCTCATAATCTTGCATATATTTAGCAGCATAAGCACACCATCGCCAAATTGGCAATGACTACATAATACCAACAAATTGATATTTCAACAGCATAGAGATAATCAGCGAAGTTCAGTTAAAGAAAACTGGTATCTATTCTCTTAATTTGCACACGAACGATAGTCCGATTGCCTTCGTTAATGTTTCGATACAATAGACAGGTTTAGAAGTTTGAGCAAATCTGTGCAGCGGATGCCACCATCAATGCCAATCTCCACAACACCAGTTGCACAGGTATGCAGATCCCTTGGAGCATCGCACCATCAGACATCCTCTCCGTGGGCAACTCCAGCAATCGGGTTTCCGGCATCTAATTTGGCAACAACAGTTGGTCGTGAAGGCGGTGGAGCTGGTGGTTGCGACAGCTTTGGCAGGGAGTTTGAGAGTTTGCCGGATCTTCTTAAGTCGGGTTGCAGTCGTGAGGTTCTCCATTTCCCGAATAAACATGCATAGGTGACGGATGTAGTCTGGATATAACTCTAGGTTGCAATGACCTCCTCCTTTGATCCATAAGGGATCGTACGGTTCTTTCGCTAGTTTCCATAAACCATGTCCATGAAGCCAATTCACTACATCATCTTCGGTACCCTACAAGAAGACATCCAACTGTTAAAACAAAACAGAATAGAATATTTATAATGATCATTCTAACACACACATTTAACTTGTAAATAAGGGGTATCAGTTCGCACTAAATACAAGGAATTATTGACAAACTACAACACAAATTGACAACTGGTACATATTGGAACATAAAACAAAGTTACTACTAATAACAGCCTTAAATAGAATCAATGGAGAAGACACAGTTACAAGCTCGATGATTACTAACTAACATTGATCGAGAGATGTATCATGATATCTTAATGTGTCACTGCAGTTATCTTTGAAAATATTGACCTTAGTTCCAAAATGAATGTCTTAATTACCGCCATTGAATGGCTACTCTAGTCTATGTAAAACTTGACGATTGGATATCTATGGATATCATCTTATTTCTAAACGAAAATGAGAGGTAGAAGAAGGAAACATAGAAAAATGTAGTTTTTGTTCACGCACTGGCATCACCTTCCAAGAAGTGGTCATTGACTGATTTTGGCTATTCATTTTGAATGCTTATTCCTTCCGCAGCAAGAATTTACTTAAGGAATTCATACTGCAACATTATCATCAGGTAGAGAAACAAGATTTCAATTACCCGTGGATAAGTATTGAAAGGGATCTTTGTATATGGAGGTGCTCACAACAACCAGTCAAATCCTAAACACATGAACAGAAATCAGTGAATCATATCATCCACATTTGCAGACACAATTGTCATAAATGAATTTAGTCTTTCATTGGTTGGTCTTTTCAAGCATCATTTTCTTGTTGTCAAGACGGGAGTTCCTAAGGATATCTGATTTGTGCAAATCAATCAAGAACACAGTCCATGGTGCAAACATATTGGTTTGGCCCCAAAAACACCACAATCCATAAACACTAACTTCTCTCCAAGATTAACTCTGTAAAGTGACAATCCCATTACTGAGGTAGCCTCCTTGTGTACTATGTGTTCTCTAAAGTCACAACTTAAGTCTCTAAGCAGCAGCACCATACGTTTTGAATAAATAATATTGAAGGAGTTCCAATAAAAAGTTTCTTTCCATCAAAATCTACAGTGTATGTTTTGGTGTGTGCAATGCAGAAGTTAAGTAGCACTTTAAATTCATCAAAGTGCGTGAAGAAATTGATGATATATTCCAAACTAAACACTGAATATAAAAAATTTTGCATAGCAGCTGACGAGTATCAATAAATTTAAGAAACTAATGGACTGTTCAATGTTTAGTTTATAGAAAACATTTTTTTTTTATAACTTCTAGTATAGAAAATAAGGCCAATTTTGAAGTTCAAAAGTTCTTATACAATGGAAAAACATGAACCAAAGTCAATCTACATCAGCATTGTTAAGGATTTAAATGCTACTATTTCACAAAGAAAGCTTTTAAATTCTTCTCAACAGAAAGAATCAAGCCACCGGTTGTTTGCAGGACAAAAGGTGATGAATTTAAGACAAAGCACTTACATGAATTACAAAAACTGGGCACTTGACCTTTTTAATTTTGTCAATGTTCTGCATCAAAAGGCAGACCAATTAGTAGCTAAAATCATTGACCAATCTAAGACTACGAGTAAAAAGATTCTGGTCAAAGCAAGAGGCACACTTTATAACTGACAAAGCAGAACGAGAATTTGACATGGCAAACCACACGAAGACCTGACAGTATAGCATTGTGAAGTACTACGCCTCGCAGTCTCGGCAAGTGAGCTGCCAAATGCAATGTGGGACTGCTACCGACAGATTGGCCATACAAGATCAAATCTTCCTGACCGGCTCCATATTCTTTCTGCAGACACTGGGACACTGCCTCGATGTCTGCATATGTGTTGTATTCGCTTGGCTAAACACCATAAAGAAATGCATGGTAGAGTAATTCAACTGCTGTGCAAACCTAGAAAGTTAGACAGTGAAAGGAAACACAAGATCACAAAAATTGAAATGAGTCCTTGGAAATCCAATGAACAACAAAATACTAAAAATACTAACAAAACTTAGCAGAAATGTCTCGATGGCTCTCCCAAATCTAGATCACATAGAAACAAAAACACTTGCAACAATGTCTAACAGAAGACTGGTTTTGATTGAGAGTCCCACTGGAACCCCAAACCCCAACCAACCACCCCAAACAAAAAATTTAGATCACCCTCGCAAACCATTTATCTCAAGAAAATAGCCTACCTGACCAGTAGATGCTCCATATTCTGAATAGTCATATCTGCATGTTACGAGAAAGTAAACACCATTATATAAAACTTCTAAAGCAACGAAAACACAAAGAATAAGTCAATAAACAAGTGAAAAACATGTTAAACGAGGATGGATAAATGAATCAGAGAAAAGTTCAACTTCCTATGCTTTGAAAGAAAATTTTGGACTTAAAACAAGCATAATATCAAACACATTCCATAAAAAATCTTCAAATTATTTATAAGCATTCAACTTTTCTTGAGTTTTGCTATTGATATGTTGTGATATATTCGTATACTTCTTCACAAGCACTTGAATACTGCTAATCATCAAATAATTACATATACATTATGATAAACACCTTCATCACCTCCCAACCTGTTATAAACCGATATAACTATTTGACGCAGAACAAAAACAAAATTAAGAAATTACTACCAAAAATGATTCTAATAAACTAACCTTATAAGGGAGGACGAGGGAAATCAACTCCTAGTGGAGACAACCTTTACAGTACTTGAAGATATTGCTTTTTTTATGATTCCATATGCTTAGATGAGGTCATCATTTATACTAGTTCTAGGCCTTGAAAACTAACCAACTAACAATGTGAGATAATTGAAAGAAACATAAAAATTAACAATGTGGGATAAATAAAGTGATAAGTGGGTAGCTTTAGGCTCTTTGAAACTGGTATCCTTCTACTTGTTCCGTACTAATCACCTCCAATTGAGAAAAATCTCGTCCTCGAGTTTATATCTGAATACAATGGATTCTCATTTGAAAAAAATTCATATAAGTCTACAACATTGAAGGTTTTTGAAATTCCCCAATCATCTGGTAAATCAATCACATAAGCATTGTTATTAATTTTCTTTAAGAATTTATGGGGACCATACTTCTTCGACTTTAATTTGTTGTAAGTGCCTATGGGAAATCTCTCTTTTCGCATGTACACCATAACTATATTTCTTTCCTCGAACACTTTCTCTCTCCTATGCTTATCAACTGCTTCCTTGTACCTGGCAATAGTAGCTTTCAACTTCTTCACATTAGCCTGGGTTGATTATACTTGCTCAGCCATGTTGTTAGCTGCTACACACATATCAAGAGTTTTTTGTAGGCAAACTAAATTTAGAACATGCTTCCACACTTTCTTGTAAACAATAGAGAACGGTGACGCTACAATAAAACTATGAATTATGCTGTTATAGGCAAATTCAGTTTGTGCGAGGGTGAAATCTCATTGTCTTGGTTTGTCACCACAAATACAACGAATCAAGTTTCCAAAAGTTCTATTAGTTACTTATGTCTGAACATCAGTTTGTGGGTGTGCTGTGCTACTAACAAATAAAATTATAGAACTTTTTTACTAGCAAATAACAAATAAAATTATATAGAGCGACAACCTTTATTGTGAGTTGTGCTACTCAGCAGTCAGCTAATACAAGATTTCTGCAGCATATAGGACACCATTCTATGATGGTTCTAGTCAGAAACAGCAAGGTTGATTTTCGTATATACATCCTCAAGCCCCTCAGATGACATGACATAGATTAGGAAGTCCGAAAGATCTAAAAGCTTGTAATTCTCTGTCATACACAGCTGTGACCTCCACTTATGATTACTGTTATTCAGAAAATATGATGAATAAGTATTACATATATGCTAAAACAAATGTAATCACATCTTCATGAATGGAGAAAATGTTGACATTTGGGGAGTTACCTGCTAAAAAGTTGATTTTGTATGGCACCATAACCATAGTAATTACAAGTCTTTCGTAGCACAAGTTTCCTTCCATCTAATGCATTTTTCCTAAGATTCCAATAGAAATTGATCAATGGACAATTGTTGGATTGCGATAGTGTCCTCCACTCAAGTAACTAATATCCACATCAGAAATTTGATGTGTCTATTAAGGTTTTCAATATTGCATTAGATATACAGCTTTAGATAAGGTTAAATCAAGAAAGCTTCTCCTAATATGCAAGCGTTTATAACTCTTTGGATCATATATATGAAATCCTCTCATCAAATCCATTTCCAGCTTTGACAACCAATCAATCATCGAAAATCAGTAAGATATTGGCATTTAATTAGCCATTCACTTAGGATGATGAAAAAAAGCATTCAATCGGGTAAAACTCTGACCATCAAACATATGATCAGCTGCAGCGCACTTTTCATTCTTTTTCCATTTAATCTAGCAAATATAAAAGATAGCAGAGCTGCAATGTCTTCCGAATTAGCGGACTTGGATTTCGTAGAGGTGGATAGAAATCTAATTTTAATTTAAGACAAGCGTTCATTCATTTCCAAAGGGTTTTTCTGTTTAGAAGACAATATCAATAATAATAAGAGGGGTCGTTGTTCAACACAAAGGAATCTCCATGTGGTTGCAATATTGAAAAGTTAGTTCTTTGCCAGAGACACTTCTGTTATGTTGACTCGATTAAATTCTTATGGGATATGAATTAAAGATGAACACACAATGTATGGAGAAAACTAAGGAAAGGAATAAGGTATATTTAGTTATCCACTACCCACATGATAAACGAAAACTTGAAACCCATGGAAACTCTTGTAAACCGTGTCAATTAAAATTAATGAAATAGCACTAGAAGTTCTTGAAAGATGAACTGAAATAAAACCTTAATGTATGCCATGATTCAAAGAACCCTTGACTCAAGACAACTAAATGACAAAAGAGGAAACGCATTTACAAATATGTTCAAGCACAACAGTTTCAAGATGCAAAAACAGACTGCAGTGGACCAACTGAATGGTAGAATTATCTAGTACAAAAGAGAAGGCCAGATACTTACCTCCACCACCACCCATGATCCTCTGCTGCAAGTTGGAAATATGTCAATGCAACAGTGATGAACGCTGTGCCAATTATAGGAATAATGAAAACAATAAAAAGCATACTATATATTGTATATATGTTGTGACCCCACACTCTACCAAATATATAGTAGAGTTCTACTTCTACATAGATGGCACTAAAAGAAAGGAATCCTGCCATTGCCATCTGAGGTTGGTACCTCGATACCATGCCAAATCAGGAATTTCTCTTGGGTGCTTGTTGGTATGGCATGGAGCTTGGAATTCAGTTATGCTGCTTTTACCGGCAACCCTACCCAATATGAGCAAAGGGGAAGTAAGGAATGCCCATATAAGTAGAATCACAAGGATGGTTCCAAATGGCAGAGCTGCAGTTGC